CTCACAAGTGATACATCACTGGAGGTGACTTTATCGGGTGAAATTTCTGTTTTTGTGTGATTTCTTACAGAAAACGTGCCTGTATCATGTGTCTTTATCTCCACATGGATAAACATGAAGTGTGATCCACATGTGCTAAATGCACATGTACTTTTTTGTAAGGCAAATGTTCTTATAGTCCTTGGAAAGACTGAATCTATCTAGAGACAATAGGGAAGATTTCTTTTATTTTATTTATTTTTTCAAAAAAGTGTGTGATCACTAACTACACATTCCAAATAAATCTCAATTATTAGAAAAGGCAGCGTATTGTTTCTCATTCTGATATTTTTATTTCTTTGCCTTCCTCTACCTTTTGCACTTTCCATCCTCTTCCCTCCTTCCTTAGTTTCATATTGATTAGGTTGCTCAGATCATGTGATGTACTGTGTGTGTGTGTGTGTGTGTGTGCGTGTACATATGAGCCTGGGCCTGCTATGGTCAATGAGGTCAACATGATGGCCAGACAGATGTTTCTATGTTCCAACACCTCGTGGTCTCCCCTTTGTGAGATAGACAGTGTAGCTATGGTGAATGACAGCATCCTTCGTGGTCTTACCTAGCAGCTCACTTGACTGACAATGAATGTAATGGCTTGCAGTGTGTTGCACATCATTGCATCATGAGCTTGATATGTTCATGTGGCAAGAGGAGAGATCTGACCATTTTGGCACTGAGCAATTTAGGTGTAATACTCAATGGGACCTTACAATTCTCCACATTTCCTCATGGAACGTCGGCACACTTTAGAGTTGAGCTCTCAAACGATTGCGTGGAAGGAAATTGACAGACCAGAAAGGAAGATGGATCAATACAACTGTCAGAAACAGATATTTATAAGTATGAAAATGTTTCAGATTATTTATTGAAGATGAAAAAGGATGGGGGGGGACACATTTCCTTTAAACATCACATGACAGTGACTACCCTCACTGACCCCTGACCCCTGTGACCAAGACACACTGTCTGTGTGGTGGAGGGGGCAAGATGGATGGGAGCACAAGGGTCAGCAGAGGCCATAAGGCAAAGCTGGAGGGAGACGCAGACAGAGGATGCTTGAAAAGGATACAGCACAAGAGGAAGGCAACAGTAGAGTAGCAGCACCACTACATATTCCACTGGTTGTACATTTTTACTTACTTACACTTCAAATAGCTGTGATAAACATACAGTAAGTTAAAATTTGAACTTAAGTCAATGATCTTAATGAAACAAACAGCCAGTATTAGAGACAACATGCTATCTTTTCTTTATATGCTAAAGGTTCATTAAATATTTAACAGCACAAAGTAGCCATGGTCATAATAGTGAAAGCAGTGTGGCTTTAGGGATGGCTGGATGCTCAATTTGCTCAACTGCTCAGTTCAGGATTTATGAGGCAGATAGAAATGACTCTACTAGAGTAAATCCTAGACTCTTACTAGACCCATGGACATGTTTCCAAACTGTTAACAGCTATTACATACTACCCATGTGCCAAGCTGTGTGGTTTAAAATGTCTTATAGTGATTCAGCAATGTGGGTAGGTTTACAACAGTTGTTAAAACATAAGCAGCCTACAGTGAAACACAATATAATGATTGATGTGAGGCTGGAAAATTGGAATGACGACCATTTCACACTAATGAATACCCCTCTAATTTAATAAATGTGACACATAAAACTTCATTCAATATAATTATTACATTTATTGTTTTGAATGTTTATTTTATAATTTTTGTTTGCCTGTTTGTTTTAACTTTTGCCTGCATTCGATGGTTTACAGTGGAAACATTGATGGAAAAGATGGAAAGAGAAATCAATAAAGTGCAAGAGAGGTGAAAACTGGAACATTTGCATTATACAGTAAGCATTAAATTGTGTTCAGTGTCAGATAATAGTAAAAAATGCCTACTTCAATTTTCTAAAACCTAAGGTGACACTGCATAATACGAGGTATGTTCCAGTTATACAGTGCTCAGCATAAATGAGTTTTTGAAACTTTAATTTTAATCCTTATCTCAATGAACACAAGAACAATTTCCAAAATTTGACAAAACTGAGTTGTATAAAACATTTGTTTAGCTTATTACATGAAAGTAAGGTTAATAATATAACATAGAATACAAAATCTTCAGTGTTACTCAAATTATTTGCTGCAAAAATGAATACACCCCACAAGAAAAACTACCACATCTAGTATTTTGTATGACCTCCATGATTTGTGAGGACAGCACCAAGTCTTCTAGGCATGGACTGAACAAGTTGGCGACATACTGCAACATCTATCTTTCTCCATTCTTCAAGAACGACCTCTTTTAGAGCCTGGATGCTGGATGGAGAGTGATGCTCAACTTGTCTCTTCAGAATTCCCCATAGGTGTTCGGTTGGGTTCAGATCAGGAGACATACTTGACCACTGAATCACTTTCACCCTGTTCTTGTTCAGAAATGCAACAGTGGCCTTAGATTTGTGTTTTGGATCATTGTCATGTTGGAAAAGTGCACAACGCCCAAGGGCATGGAGTGATGGTAGCATCTACTCTTTCAATATGGAGCAGTACATCTGTGAATTCGATACCACCAATGAAATGCAGCTCCCCGACACCAGGAGCACTCATGCAGCCCCACAAAAGGACACTGCCACCATGTTTCACAGTAGGCACCATGCATTTTTCTTTGTACTCCTCACCTTTGCGACACCATACAGTTTTGAAGCCATCAGTTCCAAAAACATTTATCTTGGTCTCATCACTACAGAATACAGAGTCCCAGTAGTCTTCTTCTTTTTCAGCATGGGCCCTGGCAAATTCTAGGCAGGCTTTTTTTGTGAATGGGCTTTAGAAGAGGCTTCCTTCATGGACGACACCCATGCATGCCCTTCCCCTGCAGTGTATGCCTTATTGTGTCACAAGAAACAATCACCCCTGTTTGGCTTTCTACTTCTTTAGCTGACTGCAGTGAACTTGCACAGCGATTTTCTTCGACCCTTCTCATCAGAAGATGAGAAATCAATTTTTACTTTATCATTGTAGAGTGTTATGTGTAGATTGATGATAAAAAAATGAACTGAATCTATTTTAAGATGAGACTGAAACATAGCAAAATGTGGAAAACTTGAAAGGTCCGTAAACTTTCCATACTGACCGTAGAACTAGCTGTTGAGCAACCTTCAGTACAGTGGCCTGTGTTGAGGCCGGGCTCATAACATTGTGAACTAGAGCAACATCTTGTGGCAAAATCTAAAAACACCAGCAGTCCTCAAACAGACTGAACAGAAACCCAGCGGCCATCAGTCAGCTCACTATTGAAAACCACAGGCTGGCCCCTGACCTGTGATTTACATCAGGCGATGTCTGTCAGGAACTCATATCAGTGACATCAAAAGTAACCTCTGATACCATTATGGTTCAGCTTTTCTCCTCGTAGCCAAGTTATCCATGCAAGGGGTTGTAGTCACTGTTGGGACTCCCTCACAGGGTAGCTGTAAAACTAACTAAACACTTTTACAAAGTGAACTGCTGACAACATTTTTGCTGTCTTTTTACTTCAGAACTTTCATTTTATCCTACTTGATACTTTTACTCCACTCCTTACTACATTTATTTGATGTTCAAGTTATGCGTTACTGATTAGGATGTTACACTGAAACAATGTCTTCTTCAATGTAATCTACCAGATTTTTTTTTTAACTATCTACATTTGATATCCTGCTGCAAAATTTCCTTTTGACATCTTCACTTGCACGGTCACCTCTTGACTCCACCATATTGACAGACAGCTCCACCTCTACAAGGGAACTCTCACTCAACTCTGAGCCACACGAGAGCTCTTTTGAATTAACAGTGACACACAGCCACACAAGAAACATTTAGCAGCCAAGTGTCCAGTTACTTTTGAACACTTGCAATTTATGCAGTGTGTCAAAATGTCTGAGCCTGTTTCTTATGCAGTTCTTTCTATATTGATGTACACCGACGCAAATAAAGCAAGTCTTTAACTCTTATATAATATCTTTTCCTTTAACTCAAACCCAGTGTGCTGAGGCACAGAGCCTGAAGAACAAAAATGTTATATGTATGGTCCAGACTGTAAATTTTGACTGATCAAACCCAGTGGAGGAGGATGTACTCAGATCCATTACTTAAGTACCAATACAGCAATTTGGCATTAATAGATCAAAGTAAGCCCCCACAAAATCTGACCAAGTACTGCCGTTTTCTTAGTAAAACCAAAAAGTATTTACTATTTTTGTTTTCACAGACCATGGGAAACCTGTGAACCCTGAATAAATGCTTCTAATGCTATTCTAATGCTCATGATGCACTACTGCATAAGGTATCATGATTTATATTGCGATTAACCAACGATCAGATCACTGTGACTTTGTCCAATTAGTTTATACTTAATAGATCATCATGGGCTGAGGAAGCACATTAAGGGGCATAAGGGGTTTTTCAAATTTGTTTACTGTAATAGCACAAAGCAACTCAAGTGATGTAAAGCATCACAAGTAAACGTTAAATGCTATTGTCGGCTGTGTGGAGACACATTTTGCAAATTTTTAAAAGACATACCGTACTTTCCAGACTATTAGCCACTACTTTTGTCGCTTCATGCACACACCCTCATCATGGACAACACACGATGAAATGCATATGATGCCACTTCAAGTTACAGGCGATCGATCTGGCTGTCAAAATATCTCATGTTACAACATGGACACCTGCATGTACATGTTTTTTCATCTTACATTTAGTGGGTGTGGCTTATAGTCTGGAAATTACGGTACAGAGAGACACATTTTTACACCCACAGTTGCAGAAAAAATGGACTAAGGAAATGTGGGGAAGTGTTAGGAATGACAAATTAATACCCAACTTATCTTTGCATTGTAAAATGCCTAAAAGTAAAGCGCTCTTTATAAATATGCTACTGGAATTGCAGGAAAAGTGAGATAAACAACTATATGACACCTGAAGATACTGTAAGTGACAGAGATTTATTATAAGTGATATAAATGCAATACTTTCTTTGTCTCTTTTTTTTCTTGGTGCTCTGTGATGGCAATAAGCAGTCTGAACAAGTTCATAGATGAAAATGTGAATTCAGTTGGTTTGTGGGATCCAGTACTGCATGACACATGAATAAGTACACTGATACAGTCATGTATCCTGCAGTGTGATTTGTCTGCTCCACACAGCACTCAAGCCTGAGTCCGTTCCTCCCTCAGGGGTTTGGCCAGGCCCTCCTCCCTCCCCACTGTTTCTCTCTCCTCCTCTTTCACTGTCAGTGCTAACCAGGACTCTTTGTGCAGCCTCTCATTCCTTTCCACCTCCTGAACACTGGGTGGTGATGTTGCTCTCATGTGAGGTGGCAGATGCTTGAACTCTTCCTCATTCACGTCATAATCCTGCATCTTTGAGTTCAGGATCCACCAGCGCCCGGCAAATCCCACATCTAGTACCCGCTGAGGGAGCTCCCTCCAGAGCACTGACAGATTGGAGCAACGGGCTTCGTACAGTGTGGTGTCAGGGTGGTAGTTGGTGTAGTAAACCAGAGAGAGAAGACCCAGGCTGATGTGGCGGAGTCGGCCTTCATTCTGAAGCTTCGTTAGTTTCTGCATGTGGCTATCTGAGGTCGCGCTGCGGATCCACGCTGACAGCAAACCCAGCTGGTTGGTGCGCTCCAGGAGGGCAGCCTCAAAGGATGACTGGTCTGGTTTTGTGTAGAAACAGGCCCCAGCCCCGCTCAGCAGAGTCAAGTATACTGATGCTTTCACTGGACGCTCCCGGGCACCAACAAATATCTCCCTACATGCCTCTTTATAGTCAGAGAGCAGGCTGTGACACCACACACCTACAGACAGCAAAAGAGAGGATGCTTAGTCATGCCTCGCATCCTAAACACACATACACAACTCACTGGAGACTGGAGGTCCAGCCATGCGTGCCCAGTCTTCAGCTTTCAATTCAGCCAAACACTGCAAAGCTGGTTTCAGTAGCGAAAAAGCTTATTAGGCAAATGAGCTGGGACTAAAAAACAGGCACTGTATTTATCAAAATGCTGTAAGATGGACCATAATGTAAAGCCCTTATTCTTTCTGCTCACAACTTGAAGAGTAAAAGCTGTAATACATTTCATTCATGGTAAAATGCTCCTAGACTAAGGAGACTTCCATGGTTCTCTGAGTGTTTTCTTTTATTTTGAGTAAAGCCTAGTTAACTGTCAAATATATAGCAGACACTGTTGACTGAAACTATGCAAGTCAGTGCCAGCTGTTGCAGTTATTAAGTGGATTAAAACAGCTATGACGTGACTACAACTAACTACATCAACGTTAATATGCATTTATAAGACACTGTCCTTGGGCAAGACACTGAACCCTTAAGTTGCCCCCGAAGGTTAGAGACACACTCTGGTGTCATTTGGCGCCGCAGATGGCTGCTTCGGTTCTGTACCGGAAACAAACTCCTTTTGTGTGTAACATACTTGGCCAAATAAAGGTGATTATGATTATTATGAAAGAAACACATCTGAGTTTAACAGGATGGTAAACTGTCTACATCTCCTGACCACGGTAATGACATTAGCCAATCACAATGTAATGTGGCAACTTATCTTAAGTGAAATGTTTGCTAGAGATCTCATAATACTTAAGAATTGGGTACTAGGACAAAATAATCCCTATGTCAATACCGAGCGGCGGCCAATTAAACAAACTACATGTCTCATGACATCAGTTTCTCACCTGCTTTGCTGTCTTTCAGTTTTCCCCAGCGACTGTTTCTGACTGTATCTGCTGTCGTTTCTGCCGCAGCACAGAACATCCTCCTCGCTACACGCAAAGAAGCCATTTTATGTGGACAGTCACCTTTATGGATAAGAAATATTCCCCTGATCGAAAAACATAGATCACATGGAGCCAAATGACGCCTAGACGGTGAAGGTGAAGCTGTGTTAGTCTTCCGGCAGAAAGCTCCACCTCGCAAACGTTCCGCCTGTTGTCGCTTGTTTACCAAGATGAAAGACAGATTAACAATGAAGACACGTATTTGTAATTTTGACCTAAATTTAAAATGTGCATGTCGGACGTTTGTAAGAAGTGGAAAGTAGTTTGTCAATTTTCTACTTTAAATCTGTTAAATTAATCTGATTAAATGTGTAAATAATACTTACTTTAATTGAATCCGCGGTTTTCTCTAGTTGTTTATTTTATTCGTTTTTGTAGGTTTTTGTTTAGTTTTTCTGTGGATAATTTAGTCATTAAACGCACAGATAACATTTTACAAAAAAATCACGTGGCAGCTTTGCTTACCATTGATTCGCACACTAAGAGATGCGGCATGAGCCGCTACTGTCCATTGCAGTTTGAAATTGTATTCCCTGTTGTTTGGTTCTTGCGGTTCTTCTGTTACAACATCCGAATACAGCACAATTGTCTGGCATTCTTCACTATTATGTCTGGCTAAGGGTGCTTTCACACCTACAGCTTTTAGTTCGATTGAATCGAACTAGAGTTGGTTTTCCCGTTCGTTTTGTCTGGTGTGAACACGGTAATCGCACTCGAGTGCGCACCAAAGCAACCGCACCAAGACCCCCAAAATGAGGTGGTCTCGATCCGCATCATCTAGCGAACTCTGGTGCGGTCCTCCTGGTGAGAACGCGTACCGAACCAAAACGGGACCAAAGGCCGTGAACCACATGATTTGAGGGCATTGGATTATGGGTAGATTTTATTTCCTGTCAACCAAAACATGCGCCAGGATGAATCGTGGGCAAACTGTATGACTTGGTTTAAGTGGTAAATGCAAGTAATGTAATACAAAATAACCAGGGTGAGGCCCAATCCGCGTATGTTGACCTTCCTCCTCCCTCGTCACAAAAACGTGGACTTTCTTCCTTTATTTACTTTTTCTGTTCTCGCGGCAGACACATCTGACCAATAAGCGGAGAGAACGTTCTCGCGTAGTTTTACGTGACGTGTTTTGGGGCGCTTGGATTTTTCTGTGTGTGAAACGAAATCAAACCAAGGAGACATTGCTACATGTTTACAAACTCGTCAACTGATTCGGACCAAAGCAAACGAATTAAGGTGTGAAAGCACCCTAAAACGGCCGGACTGCCCCTGGCAATATGGCAGTGGATGAGACGTGTTCTATTTCCGGTGTTTTGCTTGTTGTGACTTAAGCGGAAGTCATTGTGTCTAGCTTGGCAGCAGGTGAAGTAGTTAGGAAAGACAGCCCTTAACAGTGTTTTATTATTTTTTGGTCATAAAATGAGTTTATTAAACCTGTAGGGTCCGTGTTGTCATATAACTATGTATGGCAGTCTCATTCAGATGCTCAAACGAGAGAGTGCTAGTGTGTGGTTAGCCTAGCTAGATAGTTTTAGCTGTAATTACCATCTGTGTGGCCGCGCTGACACGACATCGCAATCAGGGACATCCTGCTTTTGACAGGTTGCGTGGCTTAACCTGTGCTTTTCTTGTGAGGACACATAGGTAGAACCGAACTTCTTGTCTTTATAACTTTTGAGAATGGTACTCTAGATTTGACTTCGTATTTAGAAGAGCATCACGATAAGTTCGCTTGCTGCTTAGATGTTTGGTCTTTGAAGAGATAAGCTATCAACAGAATAAGAGTTGTAACACTGTTAACGTTATGTGAACATACAGTATTTAATCTTCGTGCTCATCTTCTCTTAGGTCTTACATGAGGTTGCCATTTGTCCACTGACACAATGGCCAGTCCGAATGATCTACAATTCCAAGGTAAATATCATGTTTTTTAAAAATGTTTTTTATGCCCACTTGCCTTTATTGGATTATTTATGTCCTTAATTTATGATAGCATGGTAAAATCAAACAGCTGTTGGAACTTAATGACAGCATTTGAACTGTCACCTCTGCCCTCATATGTAATCATTTGACCCTAAATCGCAGTGAGACGATCAGTGCTCATCTCCACATTTCCAGTGCTTGAGTTTTTTCCTAGCAGCTTGGTCCCTTCCACTTAGAAGGCAACGACAAATGACTGGATAAAAGAAAATAGGATTTGAGAATGCTTTTTTTTTTTTTTAGTTAAGTGTGACAACCTTCTGATCTGCGATTCCTTGAAGTCAAAACACCGTCCAAATAATTAAAGAATGGCCAGTTACTGTTGACTCCTTGCCTGTAGAGTTTCAGGAAGCAGCAGAGCTGTTGTCCGCAGACCCGGGGGCCTCCACACTCAGTATGTCTTCCTCAAACAACCCAGCACAAGGAGAGGACGTGAAACTCAACCTGTCAGAGGATGAGGAGGGAGAGGAGGAGAGTTCAGAGGTGAGGAAATTATCTGTGTTGATTTATGTCACTGCAGCACTACTGGCTAGGAGAGTTGATGTGGCCACTTGATTGAGAGATGTCTGTGCTTCCAGCTGTTAGGAGCACCGAAACCATCTGGTGGCTTCTGGACCTTTGAGTACTATCAGTCTTTCTTCAATGTGGACACAGTGCAAGTAGGAGCCACTCCCACTCTACAAACAATTCATTACACAACTGCAGTTGTAATTGAACAATAGAACATTTTTTAAATAGCAAACTAAGTTTAGAGGTGCACATTTGCATATAAATACTGATAGTTTGCATTGTTTTCTGAGTTGACTCTCCATTATGTGATGCAGGTACTGGACAGAGTTAAGGGATCAGTGATGCCATTACCTGGAAGAAACTTTATCAAACACACCCTCAGGAGTAACCCAGATCTATATGGTAAGCCAACAACATTTTAGTATATTTACTCTAATATTTACCTGTGATGAGATCTCGCAGTATTAAAATGTGACTTATTATTATTGTATTTATCATCAAGGTGAAAATCTGTCTCTCAATATCAGTACATAACAGAACCAGAGAAGCTACCAGCATGATGGAGTGTGGGCGTGAAATTACCACATATGATGCCCCTGCCACTTTTAATTTGTTTGTGTGGCAACATTTTGGGTACCTGGTGGAAACAATAAACAGTGACAAAGAAGACACAAATAATATGTAAGCGCTGTAAGAAAACAGTGCCGCACACTGCAGCTAACACAAGAACCATGCAAAGGCACCTAGAGAACCACCACAGCGCTCTACAAAAATCAACCGCACCTGTGGAAAAAAAAAACACTGAAAGGCCAGACAACGCTGACAAATGCCTTGCATCTCAACTTCCACTGTCAAGTGCTAGAGCCAAGGATATAATGAAAGACAAAAAAAATTTGGTCAGTCTCTGTTTGCACTTTGAGTGTTGCGAGAGTACAAGAGCATTGTCACACTGTGAGAGGTAGCTATGACAGTTGTGTGATTACATTAATCAGGTTTGGAAAAGTCTAAGGAGCACCAACACTCAGGCACACAGATGTAGGGAAGTGCAATGCATTCACCAAAAAAAAAATTGGAGGCTCTTATGTTGTAGTTATGACCTGCTGTCTCATAATTACAAGAACCTGATCTTGAGAATTTACAAGATTGTGTTCATAATTATGAGAAAATTATGAGACAAAGTCTCATAACAGCTGGTGAGAGTGGGTTCTGATAACAGACTTAATTATGAGACAAAGTCATAATTAAGTCATAATTGCGAGATACTAATAATTATGATGCTAAAAACTCACACGTATTTTTAGGTAAGAATTCACAGGGTATAACAAGATCTCAATTCCTGATGTTCAACACCAGACCCAATGCCCCTATTAGAATTTAAAGCCTATAAAAATCCTCCAAAATGGGATATTTGATTGTTTCTCACTACCTATATCTGAGTTTAGGGAATAAAAGCTGTTGGTGAAAGTTCTTATTTGTGCTGATATAAATGTGTGTGTGTGTGTGTGTAGGTCCGTTTTGGATCTGTGTGACACTGGTGTTCTCAGTTGCTATCGGTGGGAACGTGTCCACCTTCCTCAGTGAGATGGGAAACCCTGCCTTCCACTACAGACCACAGTTCCACAAAGGTGAGAGTGGGTTCTGATAGCTGGGTTCTGTTTTGGATCTGGTTACATGTTGGTAAAAGTTTTGGTTTCATAAAGCTTCATTGCCAAAATGAATCCCTTATTGAACCTGTCATTCATTTCTCCGTTTAGTTTACACCCTTTCAGCCTCTGATAATACAGACATTGCCAAAAGGAAAAAATGTTTATAAATTGGTGATAACTTAGTGACACTATTTTAATATACGTTATTCTGTCTATTATGGGTTGCATATCAATAAAGTTTGGAAAAAAAATGCTGTTGTAAACAAACATGTCAGACCCACTTCACCGCTATGAAATCAAAGAAACAAATGCAAAAAGCGGTATTTGCAGGACGTGCACAAAAAAAGGGAGAATGATGCGTCATTTGTTTAAATAGTCATCATGTTAAAGTAAGAACTTCTGTTATTATTGGTAAAGTGAGACGGATGAGTGCTCATCCTACTGTTGGTGTTAGTGTGATCTGTCAGAGCGGCATCCAGTTCACATTTAGATAAGGCAAAGTTTACAGTGCAGCAAAATATCAGCAATTTATTTAATTGATATTCACAGAATGATATAGTTCATATTTTCACTTTTGTTTATACTTGAGCTTCTGCAGCTGCAGCACAGCCCCCCAAGTGAGGAGCAAACACGGCACAAGGAAACTAGTGAAAACAGGTTTACTAAAAGTCAGAGAGCAGAGAAAATCCGCTACAACACTTCAGCTCAGCACAATGTCGATGGTTTAGTTTTATAGTTCATTCCTGTAGTTTCTAATATTGTCAGTGTCAGACTATCTGGTAAATGGTCTTTAATCATGATTAAAATGACCAGTTGTGGTTAGGAAATGCTAGATTTATAAATATAGTTTGTTACACAAAATAGAGTTGTTTTGCTGCTGCAGTGAGTGAAATAAAAATACCTTATTAAACTAGCAAACTTGTTAATTGTCTTTGAATTCCTTGAATACTTTTATAATGGTTATTAATCAAATAAGTGGATTCAGAATTGGATTCACATTTGTTAAAATGCTATCAAACCCCATCCCTAGTCAGGGTCTATGATCAGCTTTTACTGAGTCATGCTGATTTTAGCATTATTTCTATTTCTTGCAGTAACAATAGCCACAGTAGTAATTTTCTTGTATGCCTGGCTCGTGCCAATTGGTTTATGGGGTTTCCTGACCTGGCGGCAAGGGGCTGAGAGACAGATTGGAGGCTATTCCTTCCTGGAGACGGTGTGTGTCTACGGCTACTCCCTCTTCGTGTATATCCCCACATCTGTGAGTTGACCTCTTTCCTGAGTGTTGAGATTTACTGATGAATGATAATAAGTAGTTTTTATGCAGGCCAAATATTCTGACTTCACCAGTATCAGAAACAGGATCAGAACAAGGGTTTACTTAAGATCATAAATGATAGATAAATGCAGTCACAAGTGTTATATCAACATGTTGTATGCTCTAGTAAAGCCTCTGCATACTGCAAGTGTTGCGAAAATTTTGATTTACAACGTAACAACTAGAGTCCAGAACAGCTACTAAATGGACCGTGTAGTGAAACTGTTTTCTGAGCTGCTGTTTCCAAGGTCATGAACTTTAAACCTCAGTGTGATAGTGATGTGTAGGTATGTCATGCTGTGTTGAATGCTGGGACTGAGGCGCCGTTTTGGGTGTACCTGCATACACTTTTGTTTTGCTTGGCTAAAAAGTTTCTTAAATTGTGTAACTCTCACTTTACTGACAGTGATAATCGAGGGTGGATAACTAGCTGACTGTAGCTACCTGGTAGCTGACCTAGAGATCTTGTCAGTGAGAGTGACGGACTTAAAAAATTGACTTCGACCCCCTGATCTCACCTCTCAGTTCAGGAGCTAACACTAGCTAACAGCTGTCGGCAGATAACACAAACACTGTAGATGAATCTGTTTCCTGTGCTCAAACTGAACACTAAAGTGGACAATTGGGACATAATTGAACCATCTGCAACTGTATGTAGCTGTATTTTTTTTTTATCTGTAGATGTATGTAACATGTATACAGTGGGTACAAAAGTATTCAGACCCCCTTAAATTTTTCACTCTTTGTTATATTGCAGCCATATGCTAAAATCATTTAAGTTCATTTTTTTCCTCATTAATGTACACACAGCACCCCATATTGACAGAAAAACACAGAATTTTTGACATTTTTGCAGATTTATTAAAAAAGAAAAACTGAAATATCACATGGTCATAAGTATTCAGACCCTTTGCTCAGTATTTAGTAGAAGCACCCTTTTGAGCTAATACAGCCATGAGTCTTTTTGGGAATGATGCAACAAGTTGTTCGCCCCTGCATTTGCAAAATTCAACACAGTGTGATGCCAACCTCACATTCTATAATGGTGACTGGCTGCAGTTTACAGTAATCTAAGAGCAGGGGCTTTGTCTTTTCTGCATTGTTTTAGGCCACAGTTATCAAAGCACAGCACAAAACACTGATATCCATTATTTATTGTTATTGCCAAGGAATATTACCTTAAGAGCATCACTTCTTAGACTGTCGTGATTGGTAGAACCACTATGAGTAACCGTATCCTCCAACTATGTGGCTAACAGTGGACACTCAAAAAAACTGCAGGACAGGTCTGTTGATTTTCTAGTTATGTTCTATTCAACGGCTCGTTTGTAGGAATGAAGGGATCGTACCTCAGAGCCGTTCTTTTTATCTTTGTGCACAAATGTCACTACTTGTGTTAAATCTACTTGACCAACATAGAAGGCAAGCAGCGGTCATCGAGCAAGCTAGGGTTTGATTGAATAGAGGGAGCGCCGTTAGCAAAACAAAATGTAATTTTCATATTGTTTCGTGCCATTTATAGTACATTCTAGAACACAAAAACACGGCCACACCCTCACACACCCCTGTGGGAAGGATTTTATGTAAATGCAGTCAAAGTGCAGGCTTCATCCTCCTGTCTGCGCTGCTTGGGCCTCTCTGCCCTGTGCCTGGTGTGTGTGGCTAAGCCCCGCACTCAGACACACAACACACAATTCATATTAAGTCAAACTATCATAATTCTTTTAGGTGGAATGGGTTATAAGGAAACAGGCTGCCTTGGTGGAAGTTAGCACTCTGAGTGCTACTTTTTAGTTATGATTTATCACAAACAAACAAAGAGCTATAAACCTGAAGTCACATGGACTAATTGATAGGCAGTTTGTTCATCATCAGCACAACATGTGGTTAAATCAAACACAAACACAACCACAATGATTTACATGAATATGTAGAGTCCATAATCACTCAGCCAAACAGGCTCGATGTGAAAATGCCCTCACACATCCCTGTCGTCTCCAGGTTTTGTGGATCATACCATTTGAATGGCTGCGCTGGACGTTGATCCTGGTTGCCATGGTGATATCTGGCTCAGTCCTGGTCCTCACCTTCTGGCCTGTTGTCTGTGACGACAGCAAGGTGACAGCTGTGGCTACAGTCGTGACCATAGTGGTTCTGCACACGCTGCTGGCGATCGGCTGTAAGGTCAGTGAGCTATGAGGGTGTAGCCCCATATCAGCTGTGCATGTTGAACTTTGACCAAACATTTAGTTTCTTCTCCCTTCTTTCAGCTGTACTTCTTCCAGACAGCAGTCCATGTACCAACACCGGTCACTGCAAGCCCGCCCATAGCGCTGACCACCCACTCATGAAGGAGGAAGGGTGTTGGCAGGGAGTGTGGAAATGAAGGCCATCTGGAATCACATGCAGATATAAAACCATGTAGAGACAATCTGGCTGAGGCAAAGTTAATTATAGCTGTTGTTATGAGGTTCTGGGATGGGTGTGCCCGGTTGGTCGTCTAATTTATCCTGAGGGTGGTTCTGTTGTAATTGAAAATGCACTTGTTCATTGCAATAACTGTACCTTTCTGCAGTGCTGCCGCAGGATGTGTGGTGCATCACAGTGGTTTAGCACGGCTTTCCCACGGGGGTCCCTCATTTCATCAGCAACACTGAAAAGAGGAGGTAATTAAGTGACTCATTAAAGGAAGAGGCACACCGTAAGACTACTGAGGTAACCACAAACATAACAACTGTGTTGGTCTTATGACACTTCACACTTACATCAGTGGAGTATTTAATAGAGAAGGAACCTGCACCATCATGAGAAATAAATAGTTTGATCAATTCAGTGTTCATCCAGTTGTTTACATCTGCCTCTTTGTGACATTGTGCTGTGTAATGGATGCGTTTCAATGAATTGAGAGTGGAATGGACTATTGATACAGCACACCGCTGTTCCTGCCTTTAAGAAACTCAGCCGCTTAACCATCATTTACAAAATTACTTCAGCTGTGTTATTTACATGAAGGATTTAGTGTAAATTGAGTAATCGGGTTTGTCTGCAGAACTTTATTTGCCACTGGGAGGTTTAGTTTTTTGTTTGCTTGTCTTTTGTTGTTTTGTTTGTTTGTTTGTTTGTTTTTTTTGTCAATAAACCTGGATTCTGTGCTTCTTATTGCCTGCCTGTAATTACTACCAGTACTTAACCCAGTAGTTGTACTTACAAGTAGGAGTTTGGGGGAATATTAATTATTACAGATATTAAATATAACATATTAAATATGTTGCATTTATTCCAATCAGAGAGAGAGAAATAAGTAACGTTCATGCAGAAATGCACATTTACCCAACAGAAGAAGAAACGTCTCCCAACAGATAGCTCTTATACCCACATGTTATCAGAACAGAAGACCGTGGGGGGCGCCACACTCAACCAAAGCCAGCTTCCCCATAAACGCACATGAACCAAGACGAAGTGACTCTGTTGTCGTGGTCAACTCTTAATAAGT